AAATTAATATCGATGAATCTGCTTCTGTCACTGCCAAAAGCCATACTCTGATCTTGCAAATCGCATTCACCACCCTGGTCACAAATTGGACAATCCAAGGGATGATTAACTAACAAGAATTCCATTACACCTTCTCGTGCTTTTCGAGTTAAATCAGAATTAGTTTTTACACGCCATCCTTTCATAACGGGCATGGCACAAGCTGCGACTGGCTATATAAAATATGACATTAATTTTATGCTTTTTACTTTATATATAAAATTTTATATAAATGTATATATAATATCAGCTTACTTTAACTTGTTTTTCTATCTCGACTAAACACATTCTACAATTTCCAGCTACAGCAAGACGCTCATGATAACAAAATCTAGGAATTTCTACTCCAACAGTTGCAGCGGCCTGTAAATGTAATCATAATTTATAGTTAACATTTATGTAACACCTGATTAAAACAAATCATAAGATAAAACAATAAAAAAGCTTACCTGCAGAACTGTTGTTCCCGGCGGAACTTGTACAGGTTTATCATCTATGAAAAGCTCTACTAGTTCTTGCTGTAATTTTGGAGATGTATGAATCCCCAATCTACCACATGAGAGGCCTGAGGCTCTCACTACTGAATGTCTCAACATTTTAACTTGAATTGCCTATGTTAGTTAAACTTTGTTATATAATATAAATAAAGATTATATTTTATGTAAGCAGAAGCTTGTAAAATAACTCCAATAAGCAAAAGTATAAAAGAAACTAAATTAGAATAATTGACATATATAGCTATAATAAAGTAAAAAATAAGACAACCTTACATATATTAAAATAATAATAATGTCATTTTACAAACTTTTTACCTACGATTATGCTAAGATATCATCATTGCTTTACCAAACTCCCTCAATCTTTCGTTGCGGATGTTCAAGGTATTACTTGACCCCTTTCAACTCTTGTCAAGGTACAATTGTGCACAGTGCACAGTGCCAAATGGTACCAAACTAACTGCGAATCAATAAATATATCTAAATCAATATTACAAAAACTATAATAATAAATTAATATTATTTAGAAATTAAATTGGATATTATAATACAATATATCTTTTTTTATATACTAATTGAGTAATTATTCTATTGATAATTAATTGATAACATGAAAATGTAGTCCAAATTTGTAAAGAAAAACGCAATTGAATTAGAAATTTAAAAGAGTTATTAAATGTTGTTACAATACATATATTGTTTAAAAGGACAGATATTTAGGAAAAAAAATCATACTAATTTAGTTAATATTATGGGTAAAACAGGCTTCGTGGATAAAACTTTTGAAATGTTGGTAATTATAACAGTGCATCGTAATTTTCATGATATATTAATGTGATATATTTATGTAGTGCGTCATTTTGATTGGCTGTACATAAAAATGTCCACCAATTATAGCTAAGAATGAAAGAAAATAATCACGTGAGATTTCACAATAATAACTACGTCGATTATTGCTAAAATAGCTTATTTGGTATGTGATTTCATCAACTATAGGTGTAGTTAGTGCGCGTAATCTCACAATCGGTATCACGAAGCTTATGTACGCGTTTTCGTCGAATTTGTGTTGTTGAAAATAAAAAAATACCGAGTACGATAATTCTCCACGAGGGCGGCGGTGGTGTTCAGAGGTGCAGATTTAAGTACGTGTGTTTTTATAAATAAACAAATAGTGCAACTAGTGCACTAGTGTTTTTAGTGCTCTCTAGTGGAAATAGAAATCATCCTCTCATAACGTATATACGTAGACACATTTGTAACACTGCGATCGTCCTCGTGATCAAGTTCCGTTATCGGTATACTAAAAAGTTATGCATAAAAATTAATTATAATTAAGAATTAAAGTTATATCAATTACTTGAAAACATTTGATAACAAGTATATAAGTTTAGAAAGATGGTTTCTGTAAAACGAAAGAACTCAATATTTGGAAACAAAAATATGAAAAAGAAGAAACCTATTGAAAAAACACGTAAACAGATACGCAAAGAAAAAAGACATGAAAAAAAAGCAAAAATGGCAATATATTATCAAAATAAAAGACAAATTCCTAATAAACTTGTCACGGATCCTGATAGGATTAAAGAAAATGTATCAAAGTCTCAAGAAATTGATGATAAATTAGCACAACATAATAATAATCACAATGTTAGTGAGAAATTAAAGAAGCAAAAGAAGAAGAAGAAGAAAAAAAAGGAAAAGGAAGTAAAATCCAAATTAGAGATTGCAAATGAGATCGAAGATAAAATGATTAAACAATTAGAAAAACGATTAAAATTAAATAAGCGAAAAAACAATACATTATCTAAGTCTTTTGTTAATGATGGTTTAGATTGTATCCTTTGTTAAAATTGTTGTTTTTTACTATGAATCATTTTTTTATAAGATATTTTATTTTTGTATCTAACATTTCTTAACATATTTTGGTAGATGTTTTGGATTTCTGTAATAATGATAATAGGAAAGAGATAGTCGATATGGAGGAACAATTATTGAAAGACGAAGGAGACAAAGATCTCGAAGAAGATATTGCAATGTTTATTAATAATGAAGAGAGAGAGAGAGATAATACAGAAGATATTACAAACCATAATACGAAGGATGGTTCTAATAATAAACAGCATGGTATAAATCAAAATTTTTGATCACTAATTTAGTCGCTTACAAGTCGAAACGATTGACTACTTTAAAAATATTTTGAAATGTTAATAACAATGCGCTTGATTGCTGCCTAAATTTTTATATTTATTATAAATTTCCTTCAAAATTATGGAACTTTATTAATCAGTTTGTTTGTACTTATAATTAGACACAAAAGTATATATATTACAATATTTTCTATAGAAGCTCGAGCAAAGGAAAAAAAAGAAAAATCGAAGAAAAGAAAGCAGGATGAAATGTTAGATTCACCAGAGGAAAGTAATGAAGAGGATGAAGTAAACTTATTGTCAGATGAAGGTACAGATGATATTGAAACAGATATTTCTGAAGAGTCTCCTGGCAATGATAATTTATGGGAAGATATTTATGGCCGCACGAGAGATAAAAAAGGTAATATTTTGAACAATGTATCATCTGCTATACAAAGGAAACCGTTGGAAGTTAAACAGGATGACGATGAAAAACGATCTAGACTGAAAAAACAACTGAAAGGTCTTTTAAATAGATTAGCAGAAAGTAATATGCATATTATTGCCAATCAGGTATATGAATAATTCATTTTATAATGATTTTTTAATAATAATCTTTACTAGCTGTTGTGTTATTTCATATGTCATTAACATTGATATTAAATATTTCAGGTGGATGAATTGTATATGTGTAATAGTCGTAATGATATGAATACTATTTTATCCGAATTAATAATGCAAGCATTAATTTCACCAATATTAACTCCAGATCGTTTGATTTGTGAGCATATGATGTTAATTACAATTCTACATGCAAATGTTGGGACTGAAGTTGGTGCTCATTTTTTATTAACATTTGTTAAAAAGTTTGATGAAATGTTAAATGCACCGCATACTGTTGAAGATAAACGATTAGATAACTTAATCTTGTTGTTATCGCATTTATATAATTTTAAGGCAAGATAAATTACAAGCATATTTTATTCCGAGTTTTTTACTGATTCTTATAATGAAATATTTTATTATAATATATCCAATACAGGTTTATAGTCATCAACTTCTTTATCAAATATTAAACAAGCTATCCTCTAAATTTGAGGAAAAAGAAATTGAGTTAATATTACTCATTTTGAAAACGGCAGGTTTTCCATTACGGAAGGACGATCCACTTGCATTAAAGGAACTTATATTAAATTTGCAAAAAATAGCTAGTAATATTAAATCTGACAAGTTAGTATTATTTTATATACTTGTTTATATATAATTTGTATTTTTAAGAATTGTATTTAAATATTATTTTTCTAGTACACGAGTGAAATTTATGTTAGACGTCTTAATGGCGATAAAAAATAATAATGTAAGCAAAATACCCCAATACGATCCATCTCATACAGAGCATTTGAAAAAGCTTATGAAGAGTTTCATACACAAAAGTAAAAGTGTAGTGAAGTTAAATATTTCTTTAGAAGATTTATTAAAAGGTAATTGAATTTATTTGTGTATTTAATATTGCACTATCTCAAGTCCGTGATCTACTGTATCAAAATTTTTTCTTATGTAGCTGACGAAAAAGGAAAATGGTGGATAGTAGGATGTGCATGGTCTGGTAATACAAATTTAGAGGAAGGAAAAAAGATTTCAGAAGGGAATAAAGAAATGTTCAATAAAAATATTCTTGAATTAGCGCGAAAACAAAGAATGAATACGGATATTAGAAGAAATATTTTCTGTATATTAATGACAGCGGAGGATTACTTAGATGCTTATGAAAAACTTTCGCGCCTTGATTTAAAAAATCAACAGGAAAGGGAAATAATATATGTTTTAATGGACTGTTGTTTACAAGAAAAGAAATTTAATCCTTATTATGCTATATTAGCAGAAAGATTCTGCGTTTATGACAGGAAATATCAGGTATATGTAAAAATAAGCATTCAAAGTTTAATTTATACAAGTTAAAAAATGTTTATATATGTATATATTTATATTTTTTTTTTAATTTTAATATTATATTTTAGTTGACGATACAGTATATGATGTGGGACAAATTTAAAATACTAGATAATTACAATGCAAAACAATTAACGAGCTTGGCCAAGTTCTTAATTCACTTATTCATTCAAAAATCTCTATCTATTTCTATTTTAAAGGTAATGTTGATTACTTGTATTAGTTTTGATGTATTTTTAGTACATCTTATAATAAAATAATAAAAAAAAAAACATTATTATAGGTTTTAAATTTTGCTGAATTGGATAAACAAACGATGAAACTTGTGAGGCAGATTATGATTGGTATTCTCCTTACCAAGAATGAAGAAGACTGTCTACAAGTATTTGAAAGGATATCTTCATCTCCTTTATTACAAACTTTTAGAGAAAGTCTTAGACTCTTTATAAATCATTTTCTTATTCGTAATATTGAATCGTGTAAATTAATGGAAGCAGAGGGTGCACTTATAAAACAACGAGCCCAACAAGTTGACAAAGCATTGCTTAGTCGCGATTGTAAAATATTATTTTAAGGATATTTATAATTAATCATAATTAGCATAAGTGTAAATAATTAAAATTGTCATAGAAATAATGAAGTCAAAACTTTTACATCATGAAATAGTTTTTACGATGAATTAAATGTAAAATAATATCAGTAAAAGATTTTTCTAATTGATTGGCATAAAATATTAACCGAACGTTTGCATGCAAATTTTGTAAATATTTTCGAATTTACTATCCAATGGACTCGTGCAACCGTTTTTACCATAACGATGAATACGAATAAAATCGTCGCAATTAACAATGCCGTCTCCATTGCAATCCTATAAAATTAGTAAAATAAAATTTTAATTTGTAATATATATCAATTTTTGATATAAAATAAAATAAATATAAAAAATTATTCGTATAACTTACTCGACCAAACTTGTTCATGTAATTTTCCACTGTGGTCCCAGCACAGAATGCATTGTTAACGCAATTTGGATATGCTGCATTTAAAAATGAAGTTATGTACAAAAAAAAGTCGACAATAACATGGATTGAAACATATGTACTTATATACATATATACAATATGTATTATAAAATATTTACTGACCACCATCATTGGTATTCGCTTCGTTGTTTAAAGTTGGTTTACCAGCGTCAGCCCAATAAGCCCAAGTTATGCCGAAAGGGCCGCATACGTCTCCGTTACAACCAAGTGTCGTCTTGCATCCTGATACAGCTTCACAAATGCATCCTAAACATACCTTCGTAACCCCTGTTGCATTTTGTGCTGAAAAAAAGTCATGCATAAATCTTTTTATTCTGAGATTCTTTTTTTATTCTTTACTATATAAGGTGACTTCAAAATATAAAGTTATCCAAATAGTATTTTGTTTAAATGCATTGCAACAATAGCCTTGAACTTTGAAAAGGATAACAAATTATTCGTGTGTCTACTACTTATGAAAATAGCATTGATTCTAAGTATCAAAAAAATACAATGAAAAAGTGGTTCAATAAAATCCGAAGACCGAATCTGGTTAAACTGGTTTGTACTCTTCCAAAATAACTATCTCATAACATTTCTGAAAAATCTACGTCTGATATATTCTTTTTTCTAATCTCCGAACCGGTAGAAGTACTGATATTTTTTGGCCTCTTTTAAAACATTCCATTAAGAATTCCCGAGAACGAGTCGTTATATATAGATAAGTGCACAAGGCTATAAAAAAAGAAAGGGATCTGGTAAGACGAGACTCTTGGTAGTTACGACAAGGTGAAGATCGTATCGTATCCTTGAAAATAAATAATTTGAAGGATTATACGCGTATGATAAAAATAGGATCGATCATAGTTCATCGAACTTCTATGAGATTTCTATCTCAGATTTATTTTTTAATATATTTTTATTTATAATCACATGATTTATTATAGCATTCTTAATTACAATGATATCATTAATGATTTATCATGATTTTAATTATCATTATGTTATTAACGTTTTCAACCTTTTTCTTTCGAATTAATGCAACTTGTTGATCATTCAGATTTGTAAAAATTATGATAAAAACATCTTCGATCGTAGTATCGCAGAGTAAGAAATAAAAAAATAAGGAATATGTATATGGACACTCAATGTTATTCTGACATGTCCTGATTATAAAAAACCTTATGAATTATGCTAATGTAAAGTCGAACCGATAAGCTACGCGTGGGTGTATTTATATGATAAAGAAAAGACGTGTGACGAATCATCGCTATACATATTTACATATGTATATCTATATATGTAGAGTGTTAAATCATTTATGCGAAATGCTTTTTGCATCCTTGGTTTTTCTCCACGATTCACCATTATTTTTATTTCTTCACTATGGCCAATTTCGTGGATGACGACGGGTACCGGCAAGGTAAAAAGAAAAACGAAATATAAATATGTTGTAAAATATGATTACGTCATTATAACTACAGAGATTTTTGTTATGGGTATTTTTATTTGATGTTTCATGTAAGAAAAATTTTGTCTTATTATACTCTCGCGAACATTATTTCTTATTATGTTATACATTTATTAATTAATGAAAATACATCTATAAATTTATATAAAAAATAATTAATTATCATTAACTGATATATAGAAGCGGACTGTTAACTTTGCGGGCCTATCCAAATAATTCAAATTTGGATTAGTTGTGATGACTCATTCGTCATTTGATTAAAAAGCTATTCTTTTACCCTTTGTTAAATAAAAAAAATTATAAGCACGAGACATTGAAGAATTTCTTTATTCGATTTTGGTGCGCTTGGTTATACTAATATTTGATATTTTATTAGTGTTGTAAACCAACGATTTAAACTTTATTTCGGTACGACACACAAAATTTTGTATATAATTTATTTTTTTTAATTTTAAATTTTAATTGTTCTTATTTATATCTTTATATCACGAAGAAGACCACTAGCCTAGTTTGAAGGTTCTTCCCCTAGATCTGCATTATCAAGTTTAATTTATTTCATATTAAAAAAGGGGAGTAATTTATTATTAAAATATTGAAAATACAGATATAAATATAATACATATAAATTTATTGAAATATTATGGTGATCGGAAATATATCGGTGATCATCGATCTCTGTATTATCATGTTCAATTGTCAAATATTTCCAAAGAAATTAATGAAATACGATTAAAAAAAAAGGATAAATTTATTTTGAAACGGATATTCTAAAACTGTGTCATTTAATATCCGGTTAAGCAGATATAATATATGTTACATGTTAGTATTAAACATTCAAGGTTAATGCAGAACCGCATGTTTTAAAACTGACGTTAACACCGAGCGATTCCTTTTAAAACGTGACATGATTCGCATATCTACATAGCGTCACATTGGATTTTCCCATAATTGATAAAACAATTATATAATATGGTTAAGTTTATCTTAACAAAATATTAATATCTTTGAATAAGAATATCAATATTTTTACGACACACACAAGATTATAAAAAATTAAGATATTAAAAAATTATTATAAAAACATATATTGATCTTACGCAGATTTCAAAATGATACAGTTATCTATAAATCGAACCGGAAGTAGAACATCGAAATCTAATAAAAGTCTTAAATGTTAAAAATATATTTAACAAATTATTCATTATTAGTTTTGAATAAACAATTTGAATATTTAAATTTGTATAAAATGTAATTAACATGAACTCTTCTTATTTTTCTAAATCATTATAGTAAATCAAATTAAAGAAAGACTTACCATAAATGCCGGCAAATGTTAGGAAACACACAAAAATCCCAACGACTTGATAAAATTGTTTAGACATTTTGTTATTTAAATGATGATATCTGAATTATTAAATAGGATAAATTCAATCTCGATTTTAAACACAATTATAATTCGTTCTCTTCTCTTAGGAATATCTCTACTCCTTACAATTCAGATGTGAAATCCACTCTCCAAGCGAATAAACGTCTTCTTATATAGGAACATGTTTGGATAGCTTCTTCGAGTCGTTAGTTTTCAATATCTCAATGGGAAAGAGAAGGAAACAGAAAAAGAAGTGGGGAAATCGAAGATCTTGTTTGAAGTAAAAATACAACAATTAAGATTGACTGTGTAGGATAGTTCACTCATCAAACAAAAAAGAAAGGACAATTTTTTTTTTCTTTTAAATGCTAATACACGAAATATTTCGTTATCGCGAGAAATAATGAAAAACAGAGAAGAAAAATAATTGTCATCTTATCGTCACATTTATCTTACAGTTCATTCTCGCCGTAAAGATGAAATTATATTTTAATTCATATTTAATAGTTTCTTCGAAACTACGTTACTCGAAAACAAAAACCACCCATAAGTCAAATAAGTAATTCTGTTCTATTTATAAATTAATAATCTTTTACCAGTGATAATGATATATATATATGCTTTTATCAACTTTTAAATTCATTTCTTTTTTCTAGTTATTTTTCTTAATGATAGTTATTAATAAAACGAAATAAATATATTGACATATATTATTTTATAATAACGTAGTCATAGGATCATTAAAAATGTTATTTAGCGACCTCTGGGGGAAAAAAATAATAACTAGGTCGTCGATATCTTATCGATATAGTTATGTGGGATAGTTTTTTTTTAATGCCATCTGTAGGATTAGGATTTAACATCTCGTACATTGACAAATAAAAACAACAAAAAAATGATAAAGAAATAAAAAAGATAGTTGAATATTATTACCCCATGTCTATTATTTTACAGCTAATTTATGTCCTTATAATTTTACCTGTTCAATTATATACAACGTGTCGACAAATTTTTTAATCATTTCATTCACATATGTTTTTAATGCAAATGATTACATATGCATATGATAGTGTAATAACTCGACACATTTGTAAGATATATATATATGTATATAAATGTTTATGTTCGACAAATTTAGATAATAAATTACATTTCATTATTTAGAATTTAGCGTTCTCTTTAAATTATAAATTATTATTAGTGCCCAACGAATTTTATTTGTCCTTGAATCACACGTTGCTATTATGTAATTAATTAGTTTAAGGTTATATATAGGTCAAAATAAAATAGTTTTATGTCGAAAAAGGAAGTTGAACAACGATTAAGAATAATGCCTGAAAATATTAATCGTTCTGCAACTCTCATAGGTGCGATTGATGAAGGTACGAGTAGCGCTAGATTTTTGGTAAGTCCTTACTTTCTAATATTTTTGAAATATTTATCAAAATTACATTTGTATTTATTTATTATTTATTTATATGAACGATAATAATTAAGTGATGTGTGTTAAAGAACATTATTTTGTCGAGAAATAAGTAGCAAAGTTTGTGCATACATTATTAATAATAGAGTTAGAAGTAAATATTTACTTTTCGAATATCCTGCATAGTATTCTTTGTTAAAAACGAATTTCTACGTGTGTGTGTGTGTACTTTTGTGTGTTTTATTAGTAAATTATTTTAAAATTTATAATACATATAATTATGTATATGTACTTTAGTTATAAGACTTATTTAGTGACAACACAAATACTTGCAAATATTTTGTTTACTATTATTTTCCAATGTATATTTTGGAAATGATTTTTATTAAATGCTTATTTTATTAAAACAATTTTAAAGAAAATATGTAAATATTTTGTTTATTTTTTTGTTAGGTGTTTGATATTTTACTTAAAAAAGTAGTAGCATCTCATCAAATTGAGATCAAACAAAAGTATCCTCAAGAAGGATGGGTAGAACAGGATCCAAAGGAGATTCTTCAAGCTGTAATACAATGTATAAAAAAAACTGTCGAGAAATTAAAAGATCTCGGCATAAGTCCATCAGATATCAAAGCAATTGGTATTACAAATCAAAGAGAAACTACTTTACTCTGGGATAAAGAAACAGGAGAACCTTTGCATAACGCAATTGGTATTAAATATAATTAATTGATACAATGATCTCTATAAGTTTAAGGTAGAACTGAATTAATATTGTTTTTTTATTTTCTTCAGTATGGTTAGATATGAGAACGACAACAACGATGGAAGATGTACTTGATAGTATTCCAAATAAAACTAGGAATAAAAATTATTTAAAACCTCTTTGCGGTCTTCCAATGTCTCCTTACTTTAGTGCATTAAAAATACGATGGTTAATCGATAATGTACCACGTGTAAAATTAGCTATTGAAGCACAAACATGTGCTTTTGGAACAATTGATACTTGGTTGATATGGGTAAGTTAATTATTTTATATGATAATGTTTACTTATTAAGTGTCCTGTTCTTGGATTGATATATTTTCTATTTTTTAGAATTTTACTAAGGGAAATCTACATATGACAGATGTATCTAATGCATCACGTACAATGTTAATGAATATAGAAACTTTAAAATGGGATCCTTTATTATGTCGTTTCTTTGGAATACCTCAACATATCCTTCCACAAATAAAGTCAAGCGCTGAAGTATATGGTATTATTTCAAATCCTGAAGTTTTGGCTGGTATACCTATTGCAGGTGTAAGTTGTATATGATCTTTAATACTGACAAGAATGCCAGCCAAGTAGACAGAAGACACAAATTTTTGAAAAATTCTACGCAGTTGTAATGGTCTATGAGGATCATTTACTGTAAAGGCAGTAAGACCTAATATTCAATCATTTTCAAGAAAATAAAGGGAAAAGTTTTATATACATTCTTATATATCGTTTTTTAATAAATGGAGAAATAAATTTTTTACAGTTTGATTAAAAAAAAAAGAAATTATAGAAAAAATATACTTGAGTAGGTTAAAATGTTTTATGCCTAATAAACGATGATGGGTTAAAATTTTGAGCCTAACGCAGTATGGAAAACCATAAAACTCAACTGTATAGAATTTAAAAAAAAAAACGATGTCCTGTCTACTTGGCTCTCCTCTTGTGAGTAGTATATAATATAAACATTCCTGTTTAAAATTATTTATAAATGCAGTATATTATATATTTTATAGTGTGTAGGTGATCAGCAAGGAGCTTTGTTAGGTCAGTTATGTTTAAAACCAGGGGAGGCAAAAGCTACATATGGCACTGGCTGTTTTTTACTTTATAATACTGGAAATGTAGTAAGTATACATATTTAAATTAATTATATAGTAATGAATACTATTGTTTACACTTTATTTATTTATCTATTTATTTTTCATTGTTTTCAGAAAGTTGATTCAACTCATGGTCTGATAACAACAATTGCTTATAAAATAGGAAAATCGCCAGCAGTTTATGCGTTAGAAGGATCGGTAGCAGTGGCAGGAGCTGCTTTATCTTGGCTGAGAGATAATTTAGAACTCTTTAGTAATTTTTCCCAATCACAAGATATGGCAGAAAGTGTAAGATGTTCCGGAGATGTATATTTCGTTCCTGCGTTTTCTGGATTATATGCACCTTATTGGGAACAGGATGCACGCGGGTATATTTTTTATAAATTGAATTAAATAATATTTGATAAATTATATAACAATAATTGTACTATTATTTGTAGAGTTATCTGTGGTATTACTGAAGATACACAACAATATCATATTGTCAGAGCTGCTCTTGAAGCGGTATGTTTCCAAACAAGAGATATTTTAGAAGTTATGGCAAAAGATTCTGGTACAAAATTAACAACACTTCAAGTCGATGGTGGAATGACCGTAAATAATTTATTGATGCAACTTCAAGCAGATTTAACTGGAATAACCGTTGGTATATACGAATTTGTTTTATTTAATTGTAAATAAAGTTTTGATTAAAATTTGCTCAATAAATATCACGTTTATATAACTATGTTACAGTAAGGCCTAATATGATAGAAACAACGGCATTAGGTGCAGCCATTTTGGCAGGTGTTGGAACTGGCTTAATTGATATTAATGATATAGATGCCTCACAAGTTACGAAATTTACACCTGTGATAGGAGAAGATGGTAAAGAATTACATATTTTATTATTATTATTATTATTATTATTTATGAGCATTCAGATATTTTTATAACTAAGATATGTTATCTTTTTATATTTTGTTTAGAACGAGATCTCAGATATTCCAAATGGAAAATGGCTATAGAAAGGTCCATGAAATGGGATAATTCTTCAACTTTGATGAACGATTAATTATTTGTATAAAGATTGTAAGTATTAATTATAGAAGTTTACAAATGTTAGCGAATAATTGATATGTGCACAAAAGAAAGAATCATTTTTATAAAAGATATTCTAAATACATCTATAAATATTTTCTTCTCTTGCTTGTAAAAAATATATTATCTATTATAATTTGTTATTGCACATAAAACGAAATTTTATATATTAAATAATACTTCTCGTATTTTTTATTGTATATGTATTATATAAAAAATTCTACAAATGTTCAAATGTATTATAATAAAGGTTAGTATTTAATTCAAAAAATTTACAAATATTATGTGATTTTATTTTTACTCCTAATCACTGTTTTGATCCTAAATAATATCAATTACGACAACTGGAGTAAAATGCGAAATAAAAATTATGAATATTTTTTATCATTATTTCAAAGCAATTTGTGCAATACTATTATTATAACAAAAATATAAAAAACATATATTATTCTTCGATTGTGCATATGATAATGTACGTTAACATATATATTATGTTCTAATAAATTTGTTCTTTTGATTTCCGTAACGTCGAACTTGTGTATTTCTTAGCTTGAAGAACTTGTTTTCACCGAATGTATTCTCTGTTTCCTAAATGAAAAAATAATATATATTATAATAAAAGTTATCATGTTCCTACAAATAATAATGTATTTAATATACCGCAATAGTGTCTTGAGTTGCTATAACATTAGACATTTTTGTTGGTGTATGTTGCGAAGATGATTTTTGCAATTCATTAAAAAGGTCCTCTTTATTCTTTATTTAAAAAAATATTTATTAGAATTATTCATCTGTCTTTGGTTTGATAAAATGTTATATTATGAATAATTGGTTTTATCTATTTAAAAAGTACTTACATTCTGTAATTTTGTTTTCTTTTGAGATTGAGAATTTACAGTAAGCGGAGTTTCCAACAAATCTACTTGCATTTCTATGTGTTTATCAAATTTAGCTTGAATACTTTTATATTTTTGCTCAGCTAAGTTTAACTCCTTTTGATACTTTGCGTACTTATTTTTTAATTCAAAT